GAGTTATAAAGATTAGTCCATTGAGTGCTTCGATTTGGATGCCATCCTGTTAGTTTAAAGGATTGTGACATGAAGTGGCCTAAGTAACATCATTCTGGAGTAACAAACCACATTGGGCTCCCCTCCCCACAAGACTTATTTCTTTCTCTGATTTCCTATCCATCAACAGCTCTCAGAACAGGAGGCTGACTTCTTATGATATCACAGGCTTACTGCTTTTAATGAAGGCAGAAGTTGTGGCACATCAAACTCATCAGTTTGACTGACAGTGTGAAGACAATTGAAAGCTGTCATTTAGCTTTACAGCTTGACATTTGTTTGCAGTTACATTTTTAACTGCAACTAAGGAAGTCTTGATTTTTTTTGCATGTGTGTAAGAACTTAGATTCTCATTTTCTTTTTGGTCTAAGAACTTAAGGTTTTAAAAATAAACACTCTTAACTGTGAGTGGATCCTGGTTTTCCAAATGCGCCAACTCCCCCAAACATTCCTTTAAGAAATCTCTACCCGGTGAAATTGCTAGAATGGCAGCCACCCCTCCTCTCACGTGGGAGAGGCAAGGGCCGCATAACTGCCGCAGGGGGTCCCGGGCTGGCGTGAGCCGTGAGCCGGAGCAGCTTTACCCCTTGTGAGTCACACTGCTTTAGAAACCTTCATTTCTTCTAAAAGTCAGGGCATCACATTAATTGTGTTTCCAAAGACTGTCAAGAAAAAAAAAACTGCTATATTCCTGGAGACTAAAACAGTACCTGACACCTAGTAGGTGCTCAACAAGTATTTGTTGAACCGATGGATGTGCGGGCGGGAATGGACTGAATCCCAGTGGGACACCAGAGCTCCCAGTGTTTCTCTCAGGCTCAGAGGGTCTCTGACTTGCCAAGAGTCAGAACCGGGACCACGATTCTGTATTCTAGTGAAAATATTTTTTACTGGGTTCTTAGTAAATCCAAATTTTTAGGACCTAAAGTTGTGTAGTTTCCTATAAATCTAAAGCAGCAACTTCTGTAGAACTGGTTTGGTTCTAAAGAGGAAATTGAGTATCTGCATGACATTCAAAAACAGCTGTACATTTTCAGCTTTTTATAACATGAAAAATAGTAATATGCCTCCAATAATTATGTTTCATTTCTTATCATTCCTCTAGATTTCTAGCAGAAAGGCTCACCAGAGTCAAAGTTCATTCTTTAGAGGTCCCTTCAACACGGGTTGTTTTTTCTTGATCAGTTTCTTAAGACGGTTTCCTATCCCTAAACCATGTGCAAGCTCTTCCATAAGTGTACTCTAAAGTGTGGTCTTTATTTTAAAATCAGGATTATCTTTTTTCACACACATAATCATCTCCGTATGCATCACTCAATGCACATCCCGTGCTCATCAAGGACAGTTAAGTGTTTGTAACATCACATATAATTTTTCTTTCTACCTTGTCCCACAGTGAAGAGTTTTGGAGGCAGGAACAGAGGTTCAGCAGGAATCAAAGATATATAAAAATCCTTACTTCTGTCATTATATGTATCAAGTAAACTTATCATCACAGACACAAGTTCATAACTTTTATAACAGTGTACTCAGAACACCTTATACTTTGCACAAATTCATAAAGAACTTCATAATTCTTTGAAATTCAGTGAATAATTATACTTTACTAAAATTGTTTGAAGTGTGACTTATATTTTAGCTTCCCTAGTATACTGGACTTGCACAGTTTTATTCTAAAGGGATACACTTAACAGTGGTGTTTTGTACTGGGTTCATCAGAGGAACGTGTATGTACTTCTGGTGGTGTCAATCAAAATTATAGCTGTCTCCATGTGACTGAAATGTGAGCATCTCAAATGTTCAGTATCATCCATTTTATAGTAAAGGTAATTCATAATGTACTCACAGGCACCTGTCTGAAAATGTTCCTTGGAATATTCTAATCAGAAAGACCTCTTTTCAAATAGGAAACCTGGCTTAAGAAATAAAATAGATGAAATTGCAAGAACTCTGCAGTCTGGCCGTGTCTAATGGGCACATGGCCAGCCACAGCCATTCTGTGATAATTTTGAAAATCAGGTAAAGTGCCACTTTATTTCCATATCCCAAGACCCTCAATGCCCCCCTGCAAAGTTCCTTTTGCTATATATGGTAAATCATCTCTGGAAAGGAAGGGAGTAGAGAAAGCTGTTTTCCAACAGGGCAAAATCACTAATGCCCTCTTCTAATGTGACCAGCACAGACAAGTACATATCAGAGAGGAAAACCAGGAGCTGCGGCAAAAACTGGACTGAAAATCACTTCCATGGGGAAGAACCACAGACTAAGCAAAGTATGTTCCCCAACTCTAGGCTAGGAAGCCTCACAGTGGCTTCCTCGTAGTGGGATTTCAGAGTGGCAGTGGACTCCACCTAGAGCCAGGTGACTTACTGTGTACTTCCCAGCGAGAGGACTGTGCTACCCACATTTGCTGACATCAGACTTGGCCATTTGACTTGTTCTTCCACTGAGATGAGAGAGAAGTGATATGCACCAATTCTAAGCAGAAGCTTTAACACATCCTATGTTTTAGCAAGTTTTGTTTTCGGTGAGCTACAAAATCAGAATTATCACATAAGAGTTGCTCCTTGGGCCGCTTCCTGGAACAAAATGGGGAACAGAGCAGCAGATGACACCTAATGAGCAAAAAAATAAACAAACCTTAGTGCTGTGACTCTTTGAGATTGCAGACATGTTACATTCTCGATGTCTCTTGAAACATAAAATCGGAGTAGTCAGTGGAGAGTTGGATATGTGAGTCAGCTACGCAAGGAACAGATACGAGCTGGAGATAAAATTTGGTAGCTGTCAGCATCTGTATTGCATTTTAACCATAGGAGTAGATAAGATCACGTAGTGAAAGAGTAGAAAGGAAAAAAAGGTCCAGAACAAAGTGCTGAGAACACAAATATTCATTGACAAGTAGAGGAAGAGAAGTCTGCAAAGGAGACAGCAGTGGCCACATCTTTGGAGGAAAGCCATAAGTGTGGTTTTTCATGTAACCTCGTATTTACGGCCCCCATTCTGTGTTTCCCCTGCTTCACTTCCTTTTCTCTAGCCCACAGACTGCTGAGCAAGCATCAGGACCTGCTAGGTCTGCCTCACACTTTAAAAGATACAGCTTCTTTTTTCCATTGCTGGATTTGCACCATTTGGGCAGGGACCCTGCCTTCCTAATTCACGTCTGTCCCTCCAAGGCCTGATGCTGCTGCCTTGTTCACAGTGTGAACAGTGGTCAGTAAACCCACCACACTCCTCACCTGCCCATTTCCTCCCCTTGGTCTCTCCCTGTTCTCTTTTCCTCCACATACCCATTCTACCCTGTACTCAGGCTTTACCTGTAGTTGTTTACATAGAAGGTTTACATAGGTGTAAAGGATACATAGAAGGTTTACATAGGTGTAAAGGATAAGAAAGTACAATACAATGAACATCTATGTATCTATCACTCAGTTTAGGAAAAAGAACCTTACCCTTGACTTTGAACCCCTGGTGCTTCTCCCCAATCCCACCACATTGCATTCTTCCCCAGAGGAAACCACCAACGGGTATTTTGTGGTTCTCAGAAAACTAGGAATAAAAAACATCTACACACACCACAGTAACTTATGCCTGTGATTTCTCTGCTTCACTTGATGATTTTACCAAATATGTTTGTATTCCTAAAAAAGTTAGATTTCTATATATCTTATCTTTATAGAAATAAAATCACATATGTTACTCAGTGATTTTTTTTCTTTGTGCTCAGGATATGTTTCTGAGATTTGTCCATAATAATGCACGTGGCTGAGAATCATTCATTTCTTCATCTATATTTTATTCTAAAGTATACTATTATTTATTTATCCATTCTGCTATAGCTGTATTCTAGAAGTTTTGGTGTAGTAGAACAAGGAGGAAAGGAAGAGTTGGAGATGACTCAGAGATTTCAAGCTAAGATTTTGACCGTTAAAGGTTTTCAGAAGTCAGAAGGACAGGCAAGATCACAGAAAATGTGATCTTGATGAATTAAAAAAATTCAAGATCTTAAAATTCAATTTTTCTTGAAATTCAAGAATTTCAAGATCTTGACAATCTAGAAAAATTTCAATGACTTTTTTTTTGAGTGTGGAATCTTTGGTGTTGATGGATCGTTAGAGATTTCCAACAGCGATTATAAATGAGAGTCATGAATTTGAGAAAAGGGGTCAGAGCAGAGGAAGAGGTTGGTGACAAAAAACAAAGGGCATAGAAGAGGAATATGCCATAGAGAAAAATTGCCTACATACACAAGAAGACTCACGGAGATTACAGAAAAGGGAAGGGGCCCTGACCAGCAAGCCTGCTTTTGCCACCACTTGTGATAGTTAAAGTTTTAATTTCAGGGCCCCATGAAAGGTTCTCGTGAATCACCCTCAGGACCTCCACCAGGAGGATCACAAACTAAGCTTTAAGATCTGTTTGTGTGGATTAAAATATTAAAGTGGTTTTTGTGCTTTCAATTTTCTGATTTTTTTTATATTATACCATACCACATCTCAGACATTACCCTCTCCTTTGGTTTGTTCCTACTGGTATTTGAGAAAAGTAAAAGACAAATAAATCTAGCAGAAACCACAAACACATTGATTTCATGGCATATCCCAATATATTTTCCTTTAAAAAAACCAAAATATTGTCTAGTGTTACAATTTAGTCATAAACTTTAGAACCACAATGTATAACATTTTATTGTATTTCTGATTCCATGTATATTATTAGTATTTCATGCAAAAATGGCACTACTTATTACACAGAAATTAAGCCTGAGAAAACACTTACCTTATATGAAGTGTTTGTAAATTACCGTTAGCAGTTAAAATCATATCCAGTAGCAGTATATATATTGCTTAAGGGAATAAACAGACTAAGTTGTGAAATTACATTCTCTGAGCCAGGATGTGCAGCTTAGTAAGAGTGTTAGGGGTGAGTCTTGACTCATTTGTCGGGTTTATGGTTTTCAGGGAATTGATGCTGATTTCACATCAGAAAAGCATTGAGCAGCTGCAGGAAACCCTTAGACAGAAGCTGCTGGATGATGATAACTGGAGAGAGAAGGTAATGGTAATGTAGCTTTCATCAGCATGTGTCTTATTTGCTTTTTAAAAGTTCTGTCTGTTTGCCAGAAGACTATTACAAATAGATTTCTTTGCTTCTATGCACACATTTGGTTCCCTCTGGAATTTCCTAGACCAAAAATAGTTATGATATATGGCTTTTCCAATTGATTAGATAACATAGGGGAATAAAAAGGTAAGAATAGCACTTGAAATCTTGTAAGATTAAGATAGTCTTTAGTTCTCATGTAAAACCATAATTTTTACTTTTAAATACTTACTCCCCCCCCATAAAGTGGCAGACTTTGCATTTGACTACATCTTTACAAGCAGGGTAATATTACTTCATTCTAACAATTTCTCTGCTTTTAAGAAGGTGGCACAAGAGAACGGAAGATGACAAAATTCTTATGAACTTTGGGAAGTGTGAACCGAATAAGTGCTTAGCTCACTATTTCCAAAGAAAGTGTTTGTTCTTAGAGTATTAAAAAATTGCATTGATTTTTGCCTTTGAACTTCTCTGTTTTTAAGAGTTTCAACAATGAATATGTATTACTTTGTTAATTTTAAAGAACACAAGTACATAACATTTTTTAAAAATGTTAGCCCTACCTTCTCAGCCATCATCTCCCTATCCCAAACTTCTGATGCTCCGTGATTGGTCTTTGGGCCTGGTCCCACACAATGCACGAAGCCTTCTGAACCCTTCTTCTTACCCAGCTGGCACCTATTCCTAACCTCTGCTTTGGTTTTCTGAGCGTGATTTCAATTTGCATCTAGAATTAGAGCTGGCTACTGAAGTTTGATTGCTTGACTGAAGTCTTGACCTGCTGTTTGGTTATTATCAGCTTGTTCTCTCTGGTGACTACAACCTGTAAATTGAAGCAACCAGCACTTGCAAACCGACATCTCCTGGAATCTCCCACTCAGCCATCCACCAGATCGAATCTTTTAGGTATTATTGCTGGCTCAGGTCAATTGTAAATTTGTCACTTTCATTTTCAGTCTTCACACAGGTGGCCATATTCCCCCCCATACTGGTCCACTGTAAATCAGCTCTTTTTCCCTTGTCCCTCAGAGATAGCACCTCTAGTCTGTGACAGAAATGATCACTACAACAACAGTTTCATATGGGCAACAGTTACATTGGAGAATATGAACCAAAGTTGCTCTAAGTGTCTCATTTTTATTTTGTCACATGCTCTTTTTCTTGTCCTTCTTCTCCAAAGCTTACACTGCTTTAATTCTTTCAAATTTTTATTAGTCTCTGTTTGCAATTGGCTAATCTGTCTTACTCACTTTCCCATCTTTACCAATCCATGTTGAAAAATACAAAAAGATGTTGCAATCAAAAAATGCAAATTAAAACCATGAGAGATTGTTTTTCACACTTCCAATTGGTAGAGTGGTTTTTGCACTGTGTGGAAGGCCTCCTGAGATAGTCTTTCATACTCACCCTTTAAGGGTCAGGAAATTATAACCATTGTCTAGAAAGCAGTTTGGAAGCTTATATGAAGAGATATTATAAATGTCCCATCTTTGGTTCAGAAATTTCACTGATGAAAGTAATGTGAGTGGAGATTTACAGATATTCCCCTTCTCTCAAAATTCTTAGCTCCCCCTAGAGTGACAGAGTGAACTTTCCTGCCTTTGCTTGTGTAGAAGTTTCTCATTTCTCAGCCGCACCCCATGAGGGACTTTAGGTACAACCTACTGGGGAACTCTCTGCTTTCACAACCCACTCTAGTACTGCTGCTCATTGCACCCTGTCCCTGAGGTGCTAACACAGTGAGTAGACCTAGTTAGTGTGGGCATCTGATCATACAAGAGTATTATGTTCGTGCTTTATGATAAATTAATTTGATGATGAAAATAAACCTACATAGGATTCTTTTAAGTTCTTACTAAGACCTTGTTATCTTTCTAATAGAACTATATTATGGGCATATTTTGGCAGGTATAATTTTCTAGAATATAAATGGATATTTTATTTTGTTGAGAAGTCATGACTTCTTGTTAATAAATCTTATCATTTAGTTTAGCTGTAAATCAACATCCAGACCAGTAAAGCCAAGATATGATAATTATGTCTTGGCTGTGTTAGCTATTGAAACTATGCATAAAAAGTTCCATAAAAGTTCTCTCGTGAGAAAGAAGAATAGCTAATATGACATTGTCATCTCTCCTGGATCACCGTGCCTTTGTGTAGGAATGAAATGTTCCCTTTATAAATATATAGTACACATACTAGAAGTTTATTAGAATAAACTTCATAACTTAAAAGCTTGTAACATTCAAGAAAGTAGATAGCAATTTATGCCTAATTATTTTAGAGTATGTGAAAAGCACATAATAAAATCAACAGTTGCTATGCAACAAGGATGGCACATTTTTAAATAACTGCATGTTTACTAATTGTCATGGATTTTTGTTTATTTGAAGCATTGCTTTGATGTGAAGGAAGGAAATTAATGTGCATGCTGAACATTTAAAATTGGCTCTAAATGCACAATGGTGTTACTATTCAGTAAAAATTCTGTAATTAAAAAATCTTCTATAGCCAGAAGGCTTACAATAGGTGAGTCACTTCTTGACTATCACTTCGTCATGCCATGAAAAAAATTCCACCAAGTATTTTCTTAGGATATCACTAAGATATCACACTTATGAACTTTTTGTAATTGCATTCTGGACCTCATATTAAATAGTACATAGATCTTAAAAAAATTAATACTTAAATAAAACCTTACTTTCTGACTGAACAATTGGATTGATAGTGAAAATGCAGGGGGAAATTTTACTTTAAGAAATAGTCAATTCCAGCATGGAAGAAAGACAAAAAAAAAAAAAACTCACTCAAATTTTTCTTTACAATGGTTTATTAAGTTCTAATGAATTTTAATGTATTATTAATAAAATTTAAAAGTGAATAAAATTAAGAAGAGTAAAAAATATTAGACAGGGATGAACTTGTCATATATAAAATATTAATTTTATTTATGCATAAATGTATGGCTAAAAAATATGAAGGCGTGCTTTAATTTTTTAAATTATGTTGTGTAATTTTCAAAACTGAATTAATCACAAAATTTTAGGCCTGAAATAGCTTGCAAAGATCATCTGATTTAAACTGTTAATCTAGATAATAAAAAATATAGTCCCCATTATTAGAATATTTACTGTATCCAGGTCTTGTTTTGAATGCTTTCCATAACTATAATTTTAATCATTATAACATTATTATTTTCATTTGCACATGGAAAAGGTAAGGCTCAGAGCAGTTAAGTAATTGCCAAAGTTATATAGCCAGGAAGTGAGAACTGATACAAACCTGAGAGAAAGAGAGAAGAGAGATAGCTAAATATAAAGTCCAGACCTCTGCATTTGGCTCAGATGGAGTAATAGAATAGGTTTATACCCCTAAAACAACTAAATTAAAAAAAAGAAAACAATAGTTTTAAGGCATTGGACATCAGGCAATGGAGGGCAGTGGTTCTGGGATATAGGAGACAAACAAGATGAGCTTTGTGATAACCCTAACTTAGTGCCTTAAGAGAAATGTAAGGCCATGGTGCAGGGAGTGAGTATCCAGGAGTCTGGCAGATTATCTGAGTTGAGGAGACCTTGCTGCAAGTCCAGAAAGATCAAGGTGGCTAGAATTTATAGGATAGTGTTCTCATAAGAGACCTGTACAGAGAAAGAACACCAAAGATCTACAAAGGGTCCCAATAAATACATGTATGATCAGTGCAAATATATGAGGAAACTACCCAAAGCCAGCGAAAGACCCATCTGAAGGATTAGAAATGAGTAGCAAATGCTCTACAATGTCAATAATGGTACCTGTTCCCACCAGCCAGTGTGAAAACCTACATATCACAGGTAACTGAGTAGAGTTCTCAGAATGCACTTGCATCAGCAGTGGGGAATAGTTAGCTCTAGATTAAATGCTAAGCTGGTCCTGCTTCACAGGTTTTTAAAGGAAGACCTAAAAGTATCTAGCTGATTCCAAGAAACCTAACTGCATCCCAAAACAGAGTTCAAAAATATTCATGAGAATACAGATTATTTGACATTTAACAAGGTAAAAATCACAATATCTGGCATCCAGTAAAAAATTGCCATGCATGGAAAGAAACATGAAAATAGGACTCATGAGAAGAAAAATCAATGACTAAAAATTGACTCAGAATGGCACAGATGTTAGAATTAGTAGAAAAAACATTAAAACAATTATGATAATTGTATTCCAAATGCCTAAAAACTAGAGGAAAGAAATGACAATGTTTAGTGGAGATATAGAAGATATAAAGAAAGATAAAGAAAGGTCTAATCTGAACTTCTAGAGATGAAAACTACAATGTCTGAGAGAAAAGTACACTGGGTAAAATTAATAACAGATTAGACATTTCAAAAGAAAAGATAGTGAACTTGAAGACACACCAATAGAAACTATTCAAATGACATAAAATAGAAAAAAACTCAAAGAGCATCACTGAGCTGTGAGACAAATTCAAACAGACTAGTATATGTATAATTGGAATCATGGAAGGACAGGAGAAAGAAGAGGGGACAGAAAAATTTTGGAAGAAATAATAAATGAAAAAAATTTTAATGAAAACTATAAACCCACAGATATAAGAATCTCAACAAACCTTAAACCCACCAAGAAACATTATAATCCAATTATTCAAAAATAATGATAAAAATTAAATCTTTAAAGCAAGCAGAGAATAAAAGGCATATATAGAGGAACAAAGATAAATGAGCCAGCACATTTCCATCAGAAACAATGCACCAGAGACAGTGGGACTGAAGGTACTGAAAGAATGTTGGGGGTGGGGGTGAGCTGCTGGTCTAGAATTGTGCACAAAGTGAAAATGTCTTCCGTATGTGAGGGTGAAACGAAAACTTGTTCAGAAATTTTAAAAGCTGAAATATATATCTCCAGCACACACACACACACACACACACACACACACACACACACACACACATTAT